TGTGTCATTTCTCTTCAGTTTTCATACACTCTTGGCTACTTCACAATGACCACCTCAGATAGATAAATAACAACATTTTCCCAGGCCAAGCTAAAAGCTCCTTGGTGTTAGATAGTCACAGCCACATGAAAACTTAATAGCATTAAGGACAGGATTTAAGTGTAGCGGATCAATGCTCAGGAGAGTTGTTAGAGTGAACTATAGAGACCTCAGCCACTGATGAAGGGAAGAAAACAACATCATAATGACAGAAAAGAAAATCATGCATAACATTTTCATTCATTTTGCTGTGCGTAGCAAAAAAAAAAAAAAAAAAAAAAGGAAGAAAAAAGTGCACATAGACATGATCTCCAGTACGCTCTAACAGATCAATCAGCAAACTACTCCTTTTCTACTGTGTTTTTATTTTTTAAGCTAAATCTCTGTGAAAATAAGTTTTTACTCATTTCTCCCGAAGCAACAATAATTGATGCTGACTGCGCTGACATGAATCGCAGCTCTCTGAAGGTTGTGGTTTGCTAAAGGGATGAACCTTGACCATGCAGGCAAATGTAGCTGCCAGAGCCACAGATCTGCCAGGTGGGAGATTAATTTCCAGCAGCCTGAGTCAGCAATAAAGAAATAAATACAAAATCCTCCCCAGACCTTTTAGACATCAACACGTCAGAGCAGATTAGCTCCCTTCATTCTGCTTTCTTTTCCTTTATTTATTTATTTWTTTTTCCTAGAAAACTCATCCCACTATTTTGGCTGAGCCAGTCAGTTTTGTGTAGCTTAAAAGTATGTAAATCTCTCTGCACATGCAGCAACCTCTTTGCAGCGCCTCCGCAGTGCCAGGGTCACCTCTCCTCTTGCTGGATAAAGAGGGAGGTGGGTACTGAATCACCACCCTCAGGATATGGTGGTGATGGTGAACATGAACCCGTTGTTTTCCTGCAACAGAGGCACGGCCAAAAGGCCTCTGTTGGCTAGTGAAGCATACCAGAAACATCATTTTTGCCCATTCTTCCAAAAGTTCAAAAAGCTTCCATTGGTTGCTCTATGCATTTCTTTGCAACACTCAAGAAGAAAGAGCCTAGTGAATAGCTGCTTATTTAGAGCGAGATCTTCCCCCTCCTGCACATGTTCAGCTTTTCAAAGCAGAAATAAAGTGAGCTTTTCCATGAGAGATAAAATAGTCTCCATGTGTGGGAAATAGCAATTCTGCTGAGCAGAGGCATGAGGAAACTGGTCATGCTCCCTTCAAAGATATCAGATGCTTACCCTTTCCTTAACAGAAGAGGAGATGGGTTGGAAACACATTACTCATCAATCTCTTAAAATAAACTTTCCAAACAAGTTCACCACCCGACACATCCTTATATGCAAGAATAAATCCCCCTCAAAAGCATAGACAACACATGCTAGAGCTGCCCTCATCTGAAGCACAGCAAATTATGAACTGTAGCTCCTTTCTTCTTCGTGTTCTTCTTCACCTTCTGCACAGTAACATTTCAGTCTAGGGTCCTCTTGTTGCAATCTACTTAGCAGTTTTAAGGGAGTAGGAATTGCTGTTTAGTTAAAGAATACACAAAAAAACATGCAGAAGGTCTCCTGTTTGCAAAATAACATCTCTTTGCAAGACAAAAGCATAAGGAAATTGGGTCTCCCTCTCAAGGAGAAGACCTGAGAAACACAGTCTCAGGATGAGGTGAAACATGGCAGCAAGGACAGAAATGATGGGTCTGTTTGGGGACCCAACTCCCCACATCCAACTCAGCAGCTTCTTTTACACAGTGAAGAGAGAGCAAAAATAGTCCAAGCTGGCTATGCCATGTGCATACGAGAACCACAAGCATGTGCATCTGTGGCTGTTGAAAAAGGGAAAGGGCAATAGCCCTTCTTTTCTTGATTAGAGATAAGGATATTTACTTTTTTCCTTAAGTGGAGTGTATAGTTTAGGTCAATGACTTTCCTACATTATTGTCCGTCACGATAAGAAGAATRTATTACTTAAAAAGAAGTCCTATAGAAGTTGA